GTTATTATTATCTAACTGTCTGTCTGTCTGTCTGTCTGTCTGTCTGTCTGTATGTCTGTCTGTATGTCTGTCTGTCTGTCTGTCAGCTTAAACAAGATGAAACCTTTTTACCCCAACCACAACAGCCTAAAACGGCACCCACCTGTTTCTTCCTCTTCTTCCTCCCCGTGTTCCTTCCTCCACGCTTCCTCCACTTCTTCCAAAGTCGGTATTCTCTCCACAGTCGTTGCTTTTGTGGTTGTTATGGCAACAATTGTTATATTTCCTTCTTCTCCCGCTTCTCCATACGTATCGACATTGCCCGCCACTCCCTTCTCCTCTGCCTCTCCCTCTCCCTTCTCCTCTGCCTCTCCCTCTCCCTCTCCCAAGGCTTCGTCATTTTCTCCTTCTGCAACAGGCCCATCTTCGCCTTGTTCCTCACCAACATCTTTCTTGCTCTGCCCTTCGCCTTCGTCATCCTCCTCCTCCTTTTCCTCCTCCTCCTCCTCCTCCTCGGCGGTTACAGGTGTTTCGTCTGTCTCTTCTGCTTCCTTCTCACTCCCATCCTCGTGATCCCCCTGCTCATCAGGGGACAGTTGCACGGCACCAACATGCCCCTCCTCCCCTGCAGTCTCGTTTTCGGCATCGTCAATGTCTCTGTTCTGCAGAAGCAGTTCACTGGGCTCTTCTTTCTTTTCATCTTCCACGCCATCCTCTCCATTGTTGTCGTCGGCATTGTCTTCTTTCTCTGCTGGGGGTGCAGGGAAAGCACTTTCGTCATCATTAGATGGGCTCACTACAACAGGAGCAGCTATTAATTCCGTATTATCTTCTTTTTCTTCATCTTCAACATCAGTTTCAGTTGCACCAGCAGCTTCTGTGTTCTCACTTCCACCCTCTTCAGCAATATCTGCTGTATCGTCGTCATCTGAAGGCGTTTCTCCTTCATTTCCTGTCGGTCCTTCATTCTTATCCTGACCTTCGCCCTCTGCTGCTAAACCTATTACTGGTGCTACATGTCCCCCAGCGTCGTCCTTGTCATCCTCATCAGTATCCTCAGCTTCGCCTTCGTCTAACTCACCACTTTCAGCTTCGGCTAAAGTCTCGTCGGTATCTGTCTCCGCCGTGCCTTCTGCTGTGTCGGTGTTTTCTATCTCGTCCTCGCCCTCAGCCTCTTCTGGCACAGCTGCTACAATGACTGGTTCTGTATCGGGGCCAGTATCTTCCTCATCGGCATCATCATCATCATTATTATCACCATCATCATCATTACCATCGACATCAGTATTGGCATCGTCATCACTATTGGCAGTCACGGCTGTGTCTTCTGCTCCTGTGTCGGTGCCCTCTTCCTCCTCCTCTTCTTCCTCTCCTGTCTCTGCGGCCACTGCGATTGGTTCTTCCCCTTCGGTCTCATCTTCCTCCGTTCCTTCGGCAGCTGCAGGCTCAGATGCGACTTCGTCGTCAATCTCATCACCTAATTCACCGTTTTTGTCATCCGTGTCGTCATCGTTTGCTAAAACAGCACCAACTTTGACGTCGACGCTGTCGTCATCGGTGACCTCATCATTATCCTTATCAGCAGTTTCTGGTACAGCTACATCGTCATTTCCCTCGGTGTTCTCCTCATCCTCAGCATCACCGAGTTCCTCATCATCTCCATCGTTCTCATCTGTGTCTTCTGCTAATACATCAGCACCCTCTTCATCACCAGCTTCGTCATCAGCATCAATTTCATCCTCATCATCATCAGCATCGTCGCCTTCACCTTCGGGAACGACATGAGCTTCAGATTTGTCCTCCCCAGCAGGCTCATCGTCTTCGTCAGTGTCCTGTGGCGACGTTTCAGTCTCGGTAACCAACTCTTCGTTATTCCCAGCGTCTTCGCTGGCCGGCACGCCCTCAGTTTCCGATTCTTTTGCACTTGCGTCGACTGCTACAGCTTCTGTATCTTCGTTGCTCGGATTTTGGATCTCGGTATCGGTCTGACTTTCAGGCTCCGCCTCCTCCTCACTGACTGGTTCGTCCTCCGGCTCGTCGATGGCTGCACGAGCGTCAACTTCGTCAACGCCAGTGGCAGTACTCTCCTCAGCAACTTCAGCTTCTCTCTTATTTCTAAGTATTTTCACGTTTTCTGCCAACAGACAGCTTTTGGCATACTCCAGAGACTCGCTTCCTCGGCCTTTCTCACAGGATACACAGACTGTATCAGAGGTTGAGGAGCAGACCTGGACCTGGAACTGACCAGGTGGACAACCCGAGCAGCTTGGACAAACCGTTTGGTAGTTGAAGTCGTCTGCGGGTAAGGGAAATAATAATAATGTTATTTGAATTTGTCTTAGATGCCAATGATACAAGACCAAACTCACCAAAACACAGTTAAGTAATCAAGAAAGTAGGACAACAGTGTGTGTGAGTGTGTGTGTGTGTGTGTGTGTGTAT